TAGATTTGAACATAGAGGATCGTGTACGACCGAAAAAGAATACTTGAAAAATAAAGACACGTCTGAAAACAAAGTGTAAGAAAAATCGCGACACTTGCCAAATAAAGAAGTGGTATGACAATCTAACGGATGACTATACAACGCAGTCTAAGTTGCAATACAACCTGTGGTCAAGCAGTGACATCACGTGTGACAACCTACCAAACTTGTGTAGTGTAGAAATTTAATTGTTTGTAATACAAGCGGCACTTAGTAATACAAGTGGAAATCCTTTATAAACCAATTCCTGGCAATAATAACGCGTGGCAATTTAAAGCGTGGCAATACAACGAGAAGAAACTCGAGGATCTGTAATCTGACGCGTAGCGATGCAACGTGTGGTAACACAACAACAGGAAATCGGATTCGTAGCGATACAACACGTGGTAATGCAACAACAGGAGATTTGAAGATCTGTAATCTGACACGTAGCGATACAACGCGTGGTAATTCAGCACGTAGTAATCTAACGTGACAATTTGGCGGACAGATATCCAACGGGTGGTAACTGAACGCGTAATTATTCAACGCGTAGCAATCCAACGTGTGGTAATCTAACGCGTGATTATACGACGCGTGGCAATTTGACGCGAAGTAATCTAGCGTGTGACAATCTAACACGTGACAAGTAGCGCGTAGTAATCCTACGAGTGGTAATATAGCGCGTAGTAATTCGACGTGTGGTAATCCGACGCGTGATTATACAACGCGTAGTAATTCCACGTGTGGTAATCCGACGTGTGATTATACAACGCGTAGTAATTCAACGTGTGGTAATCTAACGCGTGATTATACAACGCGTAGTAATTCCACGGGTGGCAATCTAACGAGTGATTATTCAACGCGTAATAATTCAACGTGTGGTAATCTAACGCGTGATTATACAACGCGTATTAATTCCACGGGTGGTAATCTAACGCGTGATTATACAACGCGTGGCAATTTAACGCGTAGTAATCCAACGTGTGGTAATCCAACGAGTAGTAATCCAACGTGTGGCAATCCAACGCGTAGTAATCCAACGTGTGGCAATCCAACGCGTAGTAATCCAACGTGAGGCAATCCAACTCGCAGTAATCCAACGTGTGGCAATCCAACTCGCAATAATCCAACGTGTGGCAATCCAACGCGTAGTAATCCAACGTGTGGCAATCCAACGCACGGTAATCTAACACGTGACAATACAACGCACGGCAACCCAACGTATAACAATCTTTGCAACTTTTTGCAATCACCATCGCCACTCACCGCAATATATCTAACATTTGTGAGGACGTCAAGAGTGAAAAAGGAATCGAGATGTTGGCCTGCGTATCGAGCATCATCTCGACATTGTTGCTGGAAGGTGAGAAGGTGGTTCCGGGCCAAGAGAAGTACAACATGGCGACGTTTATGGTGCTCTTAATCCAACGCACGGTAATCTAACACGTGACAATACAACGCACGGCAACCCAACGTATAACAATCTTTGCAACTTTTTGCAATCACCATCGCCACTCACCGCAATATATCTAACATTTGTGAGGACGTCAAGAGTGAAAAAGGAATCGAGATGTTGGCCTGCGTATCGAGCATCATCTCGACATTGTTGCTGGAAGGTGAGAAGGTGGTTCCGGGCCAAGAGAAGTACAACATGGCGACGTTTATGGTGCTCTTCTTGCTGATCACCATCGAAGTGGTCGTAGTGAAGGTGGTCACTTCGGATATGGAACGAGACGAGGACAGCCATTCCGGTTTGAGAGCTGCTGCCACTTTCTTCGATCGCGAGGATTGATCCTCGATCGTGCTGCATTCGAGTGGAGGCCTTAACATGGCGAAGATCGTAATCTTGCGGTTGTGGTATGACTCGTGGGACCAGTGATTAGAACTTGTGGATTTTTACTCTTTTTTTATTTCACTCTTTGTGATTTTTTTTTGGTGGGGGTAAGCAAAAGTTTCCGTCGCTTTTGTCGAAATATTTTATCTGCGTTAAAAATATTATTACAATGATAAGTTTTACTAAAACATTGATAGGTTTTAGAAACATGATTTTTATAGAAAAGTTCTTATTTTGTCGATGAATAGTTTTGATAAAAAATTACAATTTATGATATTGTTATTGACTAAAGGTGTCTTACTGTTTCAACAATTATTGAACACAAATGAGTACACAATAAATATGTTTATCAACTTCTGTTTCCACGTAAATTAAAGATACAGCCATGTCAATAGATACAAGATCAATTAAAAATATCTGTTAATTCGTATATAATAAATGGAAACTTGTGAATGCCCCTGTAATAAAAAATTCATCTTAAATTTAATCATCGAAAAACATGAGAATGACCTGAGACAGACACACGCATCATCAATATTTATATCCATAGTGTTTGAATTATTAAACGCATAAATACATGTTCATCGTGTGAAAGGATTCCTTTTATCGCATATTTCGAATGCCTAAAACATTTTCGTCATCAAAACGGATTCAAAGTATTTTCCAGCAGTTGAAGTTCATGAATAATTGAGATGCAGTTCCTCGGTCGTTTTCGTAGCCTTTCCGACTAAGAATAATCGAACGAGAGTGAAAATTCCATTATGCGCCATTAAACGCACGACGAAAAGCACGGAATAATGAAGTAAACGTTTAATCGTGCTAAAAGCTCCCGTTTTACGTTCCACGTGGAGAATGTATATCGAAATTCGAGCCATCGAACTTGAATAATTAACGCACAGGTGCATCGTGTCAAGGATCCGCGACTAATTATCATTTGTGAAAATTAATATTCGATGTAATTGGAACTTGTTTCGTTTTCCAACGCAAACAATTATCCATAATTATTAATCCTCTCGCGACGTTCAAATGTCATTCTTTTGTCACAATCTCGTTATTATAAAAAAGAACAAATGAATTCGATACAGGATTCTAATTTCCGACCCGGTTACGATCATCGTCGCTGTCGTCGTCGGTTAAGCGTGAAAATATCGTAGGCTAGAAATTGCATAAACGTAAACGGTGTTGGAGGAAAGCAAGTTGGATTTAACGTATAAGAAAGCATTTCGAAAGTGTATTTGTTTGAGCCCGTTGTTACGCAAGAACGCGTTACACGCTACCGGTTACGCGTGCAAGCCACGAGGCGCCTAGCGTTTCGAGAGAAGCTAATTGCGACAGAATGCGAACGTAATCGATCGTAGACATCGATCGATCTGCGCGTATCCGAACCTGTGATTGAATCTGTAAATACACGATCGATAATAAACGAGGCATTTGCATATAACACTTTGACTCGATATTAATCCCTTGCCTTGTAACGTTAAGTTCGATTCGGAGTTCGCAATTTTATTACCTAATTATAATACTGGTAATGGAGTTGATGGCAAAAAAGTCATATTTAAATCTTTCTTCCAATGTCGAATTGACGAATTATTAACAAGAAAAGATGGAAGCCAAGGTCTCTGTATGAATAGTTGATGCAGTGATATTCGATATGAATTAAGAAATGATAGAAAGGTTGATACAAATAATTGATAATCCGACGATACTAGGTAAAGAGTAGCAAATATTAATAGTATATAAAGGCTAACTAGCACATAGTAGTACTAGGTAACTAACAATCAGTAGATAGCGAATGTGTGACGACACAACATGGTAATATATCGAGTAGCAATTATAACTTGTGACGATGTAATGCGTGGCAATATAACACGGGGGTATTGAACTCATTACTATTATAGCATATGGCGATATAACGCGAGGCGATATAATACATGGAAGTGTAACGCGTAGCGATTCCGGCATACGGCGATATAATGCGAGGTAATGTAATGCGTGAAAATTTAATGGGTGACGATTCCGGCATACGGCAATATAATGCGAGGCAAT